CAAAGAGTCTATTTAAGCATCAGAGTTATTTCTTATTTTTTTTGTTTTATCAGCTATCTTTCATCATATTTATTTGAAATTTTCAAAAAAGTTTGATAAATTTTGATTACCTGATAAATGTTTTTTAACTATTAACAGTAAATGAATCATTGGTATGCTTATTATTTATACAGTAGTTTTCGTTTTTTTTTTTTCTAAACTACTAAAAATTACCAACATTCATAACTTCCATTGCTCAAACTTAACATACACGAAATTTTTTAAGCATTAATTAATCAATTAGCATAAAATTAACAAAAATTAGCATTGTGTAGTTTTTATTTTTAGCTGAACTATTAATTATTCCTAATTAGTTTTACCACGAAAGGACATGTACAATGATGTTACATTTTTTGAATGAAAATAAAAATATTATTAAAGGAATCCTTCTTTAAAAAAAAAATGATTATACTGTTTATTTTATCATTTTGATAATTTTAGCCTTTTGATATGACGGATACAAAGTTATCACAAACTGATCTTCCAAAAGACATCAATACTTGTACAATATTACAAGATACAGAAATAAAAAGGTGAATAATTCTTTTATTATTTTATTTCAAAATTTTATAATTTTAAATTGTCAGATATATAAGATATAACTTAAATAGAATATATATTTTGTAATTTGTTCAAATAATTGATTAGAATTGAATTGAATTATAGAACTGAAAGTATGACGGGTAATTTACCACAAATGTCGTCAATATCGGATTCAAAAAGTGATGATGGATCAGTAACTGGTTATGATGATATGGAAATGGATGAAACGGAACAATAGTACAACAAATTTAAATTTAATTAGCAAATTTAAAAATTGAATTTGAAAATATGTTTATTTATTTTTTATATATATGTACATATAAATATTTCTTGGAATAAATTTGAGTTGTATGATTTTTTATTTTAATTAATTAGTTAAATAAATCTTTTTTTTTCAAATTGGAGGAAGGAAATAAATTAATGAAAAGTTGTGAAATAGAAATTCAAAATGGGGATTGGAAAAAAATTTAATACTTGATAGAAATTTCTGGCAATAATTACAATTAATATTTGATGAAATGGTTACGGACAAGTGGTCAGATCAAGATTGTATGATAACAGTTGAAATTGTGATAATAAGGTCAAACCATCCTTTCAAAAATGTCGCTTATAATTTGCCATGTTCAAATTTTATAATTGTTATCATTATTACAAATTCATTTTGTAATTGTTGCCATTATTGTTATCACTATTACAACAATGTTATCGTTGCTATAATTGTCATTATCATCATTAAAAATTATCTTTTGATTAATAAGATATGAAATGATGACACAAGCAATAATAAATTTGTATTGCAGTATATTTCACTTTCATTTTTCATGTTGGAAATTAATTTGAATATATGTAATTAAAAAGTTGAAGAATAAAATTTTTCAAGAAAAAAGATAAAAATTTAATTTGATCGAATATTTGAGCAAGCTGAGTAATTCACGTTCTCATTTATCATTTATTCAATTTCTTAGCCATATGATAATGGATATTGATAAGAATGTTTGTTATCAACGAAATAAACATTCAAGCATTCAGTGATAATATTAAATAAACTGTCATATTCCAATTGTTGAATTTTATCGAACCTTTTTGAATTTTTATGTTGATTCGTGTTTAGCATCTTGTCCATTGAAATACTTAAAAGTTGAATTGAAAGGGAAGTTAAAATTCAAATTTTAAATTTAGTTGAATTGAAATTTATCACACTTTTAATTTATCAAAATTCAAATTTCATATACTTATCAAATTCTAATATTTTAAACCAATGATATTCATCCTGCAAATCAAGTATCCAGGATGTGCATCTTTTATAAATTATGTCGATATCATTAGAGTTCGAAGCGCTATAAACTCTTTTGGATCAAAAAATCTATTGAAAGAACAAATACATTTTTCGGAAAACGGTTTCCAACCGATTGACGAAATTCTAGCTGGACAATACCTTGCAGTGAAAACTTTAAAATAAATTTTAACTTAAATATATTAATTATATACTTCAGTTGCTTCATTTATTTGATAATAGTAATAATAATAACAATAATCAATCTTTTTAGGCAATCATTTTTGATAATCTAATAACAAGAGAACGGTTTATTAATTTCATTTCTATAAAGTTTAGACTATTTGCTTTACCCTCTTCATTATGTATATGGTGTCATTTTAATAACAATAATAACAATAGTAATGGTAATGAAAATGATAGTGATGATAGTAATAGTGATAATAACAATAATAATAACAGTAATAGTAACAACCACTGCTACTATTCATTCTACTGTCACTATTATTATTATTATTATTATTATTATTATTATTATTATTATTATTATTATTATTAGTTATTATTATTATTATTATTATTATTATTATTATTA